GCCTGTCTTCAAGGCGCGTTACGTGGCTCGAGGCTTCAGCCAGCGGCAGGGAGTTGACTACTTTCATACCTTCTCTCCCACCCCGAAGATGACCACTCTTCGGGTGTTGCTGCACATAGCCGCTCAGCGCGACTACGAGCTTCACTCTCTTGACTTCAGCACAGCTTTCTTGCAGGGCAGCCTGCACGAGGAGATCTGGCTGCGCCGCCCACCTGTCTTCACTGGGTCGTTTCCTCCTGGTACCCAGTGGAGCCTCCGGCGGCCAGTCTACGGTCTCCGCCAGGCGCCCCGTGAGTGGCACGACACACTGAGGACTACACTTCCGGCTCTTGGGTTTGCTCCTTCTACTGCCGACCCGTCGCTGTTTCTACGCGCCGACACCTCTTTGCCGCCGTTCTACATCCTCGTGTACGTCGACGACTTGATCTTTGCCACTGCTGACACTGCTGGACTCGCTCACGTGAAGTCCGAGCTGCAGAAGAGACACACGTGCACAGACCTGGGTGAACTGCGCAGCTACCTTGGCTTGCAGATCACCCGGGACATAGCACAGTGCACCATTACCCTGACTCAATCACACATGGTGCAGCAGGTCCTTCAGCGCTTCGACTTCACGTACTCCTCACCTCAGGCCACTCCTCTGTCTACTCGCCACTCGCTCTCAGCTCTGCCTTCGGATGAGTCCGTAGAGCCGAGTGGCCCGTACCCAGAGCTTGTAGGCTGCCTCATGTACCTGATGACCTGCACTCGACCTGACCTTGCATACCCTCTTAGCATCTTGGCACGCTATGTTGCTCCTGGGAGACACCGACCAGAGCACATGGCTGCAGCGAAGAGGGTGTTGCGCTACTTGTGCAGTGCGTCGGGCATGGGGCTAGTGCTTGGAGGGCGGCGTTCAGTGGTCCTCACAGGTCACGCAGACGCTTCTTGGGCTGACGACCAGGCTACGCAGCGGTCGTCATAGGGTTACACCTTCAGCCTTGGTTCCGGCTCTGTTTCGTGGCGGTCTACCCGCTCGTCTTCTGTTCTCGGCTCCAGCTGTGAGGCTAAGATCTACGCGGGGGCCATGGCTGCACAGGAGCTACGCTGGCTCACCTACCTGCTGTCTGACCTAGGAGAGCAGCCTCGGTCTCCTCCAGTTCTGTACGTAGACAACAAGGCCATGCTGGCCTTGTGTCGGGAGCACAGACTGGAGCACAGATGAAGCACATTGCTCTTCGCTACTTCCTTGCTCGTGAGCTGCAGCAGCGTGGTCAGCTGCGCCTTGCTTACGGGGCCTCTCATGCCAACACTGCTGATATCTTTACCAAGGCACTTCCGCCTGGTGATCATCAGCGCTTTTGTACGATGCTAGGTCTTCTGCCTACTTGGCCTCACTTGCTCACTTCTTGACCTTGCTTGTACTGTGATCTATCTATACCTGCACTTACTTGTTTACCTTTATATATAATATTGCATGTGAACTGGCCTTGTGGCCTTGAACTTGTGCTCGGAATGTGTGGTGACGTTGTGATCCAACATGAGCTTACTGTGCTTTGCTTGATTGGTCTTGTGACCTCTTGTTCTCCCCCACTTTGCCTAGGGGGGTGTGTCAAACTTATATGCTATAGTCTGTGTAGGCTGTAGTGGGGTAGACAATATGGGGTACAACATTTTTAGGTTTTCCTACTTGTACCCTCCTGTTTCCTAGTGCATTCACTTCCTCGTTCTTTCACACCTCTGTCACCTGCCGACCCGACCTTTCGTACATCGCTAGTCAACTGGCGCAGTACTCCCGCAAGCCAGTAGCTGAGAACCAGCTGGACCTAGAACGCGCCGTGCAGTACTTCATCTCCACACCTGACATTGGGCTCTCCTACTCCACGCTGACGAGGACCTCCTTCAACCTCAACGGTTACGTGGACGCAGACCATGTAGCTGATCCTGCAAATCGACGGTCCCGAACCGGCTCTGTTTTTCGCCTGGAACCAACTGGGCCAATCTCCTGGAACTCACAAAAGCAGGAGCTGGTTGCCGTGTCGTCGGCCGAAGCAGAATACATCGCCGCGACAGCAGCAGTTCGCGAAGGCCTGTACCTGCAAGAATTGCTACAGGAGGCGAAAATTCCAACTTCGCCCACCTTTCGCCTTCACTGCGACAACCAGAGTGCCATTAGGATCGCGAACAAGCCCGGTTTTGTGAACCGCATGAAGCACATCGCGCTTCGGTATTTTTTCGTCAAGGGCGAAATTGACCAAGGCAAAGTTGACCTCGCCTACTGCCCGACCATTGAGATGGCAGCAGACTTCCTCACCAAGCGCTTGCCACGTCAGCAGTACAAGCACTACTCTGACCTCACCGGAGTAGTCAAGCGAGTCAGCTCCCTCTGCGCCCAGGAATGAAGGGGAGTGTTACGATATGAAGTTTTATGAGTAAGGCATTTCTGTACGCTGCAGGAAGCCGACTCTACCGAGTACGAAGTCGAGGAGTCAGAAGAGTCGAAGCGACACAGCAACCGTCTGACAAAGACCGATGCAGGCAGAAACATTTGAAATGAAAAGAGCGGGAACAGGTTCAAAACGGATTCCCGCGCCGCATAGTTGAAACTCGCTGCAATACGGGAATGTACCCCTTAGAATACATGGCTAGTCTAGGTCTTTTCGTATTCCCCTGTAATCTTATATAAACTCGATGTATGCATGCCATTATCAACTCAGTCATTTACATTCACTCTGACCTGAGATTCAAATCTTCCGCTGCAACACTACTCTGCGATCAACCCTGAGCGATCCTTCGCTAAGTCCCACTTGGGATTGTAACAGCTAGTCTATGTCGTTTCGTATTCCCCTGTACTCTTATTTATACGAATGCATTTGCAGATTTTTATTATTTCAGTCATTTTTCATCCACTCTGACCTGAGGTCGATCCAGCTGCAACACACTGTGCAAATTCCTGAGTAGATGCTAGGGACGATCAACTTCTGATCGCAACACTACCGTATTGTCCAAATGGGAAAGATTTCAACCCAACCCAATACTTTCTGAGATCTGGTTTCATGGGGATCTTGCATGGCGAACACAAATCGACGTTATCTTATCCCATGACTTGGTGTACCCTTGGAGGGAATGCTGGGTCTGGTGGTTCCCTGACGCTGGGAATGCTGGTGGTGTCAGGTTGCTCTGGTGTGGGAGATTTGCGCGGGCCTTGGCGGGTCGCTGCGCGTCTCCAAATGGGCTTGCGCCACGCGAGCAGCGATTCGCGATGAGGTTTCCAGGTCTCCAGCCCCCAGGCGAGTGTCGCAGCTTGGCCATGTCTGTCGCCACGGTTACCAAACAAAACAGTCGCCTGCAACGTTCACGAACAACCTTTATTGCTGCCGTGGCTCCCAATCAAGGATACCATCTGACTTCCCAGTTTTAGCACAACCGGCTAACCTCTCAAACCTGCAGTCTAGATTCGTTCCCATTCTTCCTTCACAGATCTGGTTCTCTCTCTGTCATCCTCGCAGCCATGGGGCTCACTTTTGGGAAGCTTTTTAATCGGTTTTTTGGAAAGCGTGATATGCGCATCCTGATGGTTGGGCTTGACGCTGCTGGTAAAACCACTATTTTGTATAAGCTGAAGCTGGGAGAAATCGTGACAACCATTCCCACTATCGGTATGCCCTAGACTTATCCTGTCTGCGTGATTCTACAGCACACTATTCGCAGTGACCTCGCCGACCCTGTTTTCATGGTCTGGTCCGTTAAATATGTGTTTTTGGTATCAGGGTTCAACGTGGAAACTGTGGAGTACAAGAACATCAGCTTCACCGTGTGGGATGTCGGAGGTCAGGACAAGGTTCGTGCCTGTTCCGGTTGTGTATCCTGATTGTTTAATAGCACTCTGGGATGTCGCTAACAGCTCGATATGGTATTTTTGCAGATTCGCCCTCTCTGGAGGCACTATTTCCAAAACACACAGGGTCTTATCTTCGTTGTTGACAGCAACGACAGGGATCGTGTGATGGAAGCTCGCGACGAGCTGCATAGAATGCTTAACGAGGTCAGTTCACGCATTTCTTCGTCAACGACGTTACTTTCAAATTCATAAGATCCTTCGTCTTAACCCTGTTCCGTTGATCCGTCTTTGATGTGGCTCAGGACGAATTGAGGGACGCGGTGTTGCTGGTCTTCGCGAACAAACAGGACCTTCCCAACGCCATGAATGCTGCGGAAATCACTGATAAGCTAGGCCTACACTCGTTGCGCCAGCGGCAGTGGTGAGTAACTTATTGTCACACGTTTTGGAAGAGTGTGCGCATAGGATGATTAGTAAACTCTCGTTCCTTATGGCGTGCTTCTAATGTCTTGTTACAGGTACATTCAGAGCACTTGCGCCACATCTGGTGAAGGTCTATACGAAGGACTGGACTGGCTCTCTAACAACATCTCGTCCAAGGCAAGACTAACGCTACTTCCCCCTTAACACGCCTCCCTCATTCTCTCGACCTACTCTCCCTCCCTCTCTCCACCTCTTATGCACACCCCCTAAGACGCACAAATTCATTTTCCGTCCATCCATGTTTGCCTTGTGGCAATTCCCCTTCCACACCATCTTCCACGTTCCTACGTTAGCTGTCTGTAATTCATGTCATTTTTGCTGTATGAGCAATCTTGCTGTGCATGCAACCTGGGTTTTTTTTCTGGCGTGGTTTCAGATGCATCCATTTTTGTGGTTGCCACTGCTGCAGGACTGATTCATTTCTTTTGGACGCTACTGCTGCAGGACTGAGCATTGGAATCTTTTCCCCAAGCTGGAGAGTCGGAGTTTCAAACCGTTTGCTGAACTTTCCTCTAGCGCAATGAAGATATTTAGTGTGAAGTATCCTGTAGTAATCCTTATATCAACAATTATACGCATTCAGGAAGAAGTGGATAAGCATAGACACTCAGACGTAATGTATTGTCGAATAGCATATTGATTTTGATTTTGCGTTCTGAACTAGAGAAGTGCAACAGCGCTCATATTTCTCCTGGGTTTATGCCCATGTCTTCCGGCGACGGGACTTGTGACGTGAAGGCTTTGCCAGCATTTCCAGTTCAAGCGGCTCTTCTTCCTCCACCTCCACGTGGTACGTGGCGCAGCAGCCGAACACACAGATGGACATCTGCGCACGAGCAGGTAAACGGGTTGTAAACTTCTCCTTGTGACGGCAAGAGAGATCCGGAAGGTTAGCAAAAGGGATCCTTACGAGGATGATGGTGAAGGCGAGAAGAAGATACGCCACTTTCATCCACTCGGTCTTCACATACTCTGCCACACCAGCCCTGCTCAGAGGCACACACAATGGCATTCAACCGCCCATTCACCTACAAGGTAGAGAGAGTAAGGATGCATGGCAAGTACTCATGCGCACTGTTCCGCACTGCAGAGGCGGCGGGTGCTGCCATACCTGCACGAATCGCAGGCGAAGCACATGGTGGAGTTGACGGCGCTGTACTTGGTGCAGTCTGGGTTGTCGCTGTGGGGGGGGGCTTCCTGCATGAAGATGGTCGCCGTCATCTGCCGGTACCCGCACCTGCAACCCACGTGCGCGCGCAGGGGAGACAAGGGACGGTACAGTACCACAGGGCGGAGGTTTGGCGCGGAAGAGAGGAAGGAGTGGCGCGAAGGCAGGACGTGAGGTGAGGCTGCTCGTAACGCGCCCAATGGCCCGCAGGTGCGACTGCTGTGCACACGACATGGTGGGCTGCACGCGACACTCGATGTCTTCTGCAGCGGGCGGACATGCGAGAGCGCGAGCCACGCACACGGGCGATACGTGCTGTGCGGACTTGTCGCCGTAGCGGGTACTGGTGAGCGGAAAAAGCGCGGCAGCGCGTCAGAGCACGGCACTTACTCGATGGGCGGGCGGCAGCAGCCGGACTCGGTGGGGGAGAGCTGGGCAGCGTGGTACTGGGAGAGGTCCTGGCAGATGGGCGGGGAGAAAGCGGGGGGAGCAAGGAGGGGCATTCGGCATGATTGGGTGGGAAGGCTTGTCTGTCCGTGCTGGTGTTAGCAAGGGTGGCGGCACGAGGGGTGGTGTGATCAAGTGTAGTGAGGCGGCGCGTGCGTGTGCGCGCGGCACTGACCGGGTAGCGCAGGTTGAGCTGCTGGCAGTAGGCGGCGTCCACCATGCACGCCTGCACGCGCTCCCACGTCCCCGAGTTGCGCAGCTGCCGCAGCACCGCCATCAAGGGGGGCGTAGGAAATGAGAGTGGGGAGGGGTAGGGGAATGGAGGGGCTTTGAGAGACTGGGCGAGAGCGAGGAGACGAGACCAGACAGGGCAGGGAAGAGCAAGGAACTGTGGAAACACGAAGCTTGCAGGTGGAAATTGCCGGCATGGGGGGCAGAATCCATAAGAACGTCGTCCAAGACGATGCAGGCGACGGGAAGGCGAGGAGGGGCATGGGAGGGCGGGAGCGTACCGTAGACTGCATCCACTTGGAATAGCTGTCCAGGTAGTACTGCTGGAACCTGGGGGTGAGGCAAGAAGGGGAGTTGGGAAGGGGTAGTAAAACGGGAGCGAGGGGTGTGGGGAAGTGGTGAGCAAGGGAGAGTTGGGACACCCCGCGCAGCACATGCATCAGGCGGGGAGGCGCATAGCAGGGAATAGAGGAATGGAACTAGAGGAAAAGCGTGAGTGGAACTAGAGGACGAGCGAGAGTGAGGTGAGGGAGAGTGTTAAGCGGGGCAGGCCGCAGAGCTCACTCAAGGCCGTTGACGGGCGTGCCGTGCCCGGGCTCGCTGACTGTGAACCTGCGCACACACGCACGTGCGGAGGGAGACGGGGGACGGAAGGTACTGAAGAAAAAGGGGAGGGATTGAACGGAAGCAGGAGCCGTGGGTAGCACCAGCGTACATGAGAGGTAAGGAAATGGTGTGCACGAGGAAGGACGTGCTGTGGTGAATGAAGAGTGGTCTGAAATTGAGGAGCACGGGAGCGAGGAAAGGAGCGAGGGAGGTGGGGGACGAGGTCGGTGGCAATTCGTACGAGAAGATGGTGAAGGCGAGGAAGACGAGGGTGATGACGGATAGCAGCACCATGTACTGCCGCGCGCACATGCACGCACACACGCACGCACGCATGCACCGGTGCAGGGATGCACATACACGCACATAGGAAACGGTCGGTCATGAGGCAAGCGAACGAGCAGTGCAGGGAAAAACGAAAGAGCGAGGTTAGCGCGCGGGGCAGGCGGGGAAGGGAGAGACGAGGGTTCGAGTGTGTGGAGATTGACAAGGCGGAGCCGAGATTGTGCGTATGGAGTGCCACAGGAGCACGAAGTCAATACGAAACAGCAAGTCAGGCGACGTCAATGCACGAAGGGGTGTGGTGAAGGGGAGAGGGGAGGCGGGGAGGGTGCGGGAGAGGAGGGACGTACGATCCAGAGGAGAAACGACGACGTGCATGCCGTGCCTAGCAGGCCCAGCAGCGATCTGCCAGCGCGGGGCGTTGAAAGGAGGGGGCGGGCGGGGGGAGGGGAAGAGGGGGATGAGGTGTGCGGGACGCTGTGGTAGTTTAAGGGAACGAGAAAGCACTGGGTCGATACGACTGACTACTGGACGGGAGGGGGAAACATGAGGCGAAACAAGGGGGAGCGGGGATCAGGAGACCCGTAGGGTGAAGGTGTCCGGGTGAAAGGAGGTCCCAGGGGCGGGAGGCGAGGAGCGCACACGACGGTGACGAGGGAACCGAGCACGATGAGCGGCGTCTGGATGAACGCGAGACACGCCGTGGGCTGCTTCGAGTACAGCACGCCTGCCGTCACCAGCAGCACCACTCCCAACACCTGCGCACCGTTCCGAGGACGACAGAAGGCAAAGAATGTCGGGAGAGGGGAGATAGATGAAACATGGACAATGTGAGTTGGAGGTGGAGAGGATTGATCCGAGATGGATGAGCGGCGGAGACAAGCGCCGAACCGAAAGGCCTGGTCGAGCCGAAGACGAGCAGCGTGGGAGGGCGACGCGGTGAGGGCTGTTAATGATCGAAATACGAGGCGCAAGCAGGATGATTGGGTGGGTTTCGTCGGGTGAGGGACGAGGAAGAAGAAAAGTGGGAGGCAGCAGGATGCTCGAGAGGTGGCAGAGCTTTAGTGTCGCACCAGCGTGAGGACATTGATCCATTTGACGAAGACCGTACTGCACCGATACGCCATGCTTCTTGCAGCGCCAGTGTCTGTTCTCGTGCTGTGGGCTGTATTCTTCCTGAACTAGGTAGACGGATTCGGAGTTTTAGGGGCAAAGCGCAGCTGGAATGTAGCGACTTACGTTTTTTTTTGGGGTTGATGCTAGGTTGGTTTAGGGGCTAGTGGGGGGAATGCGTTCATAGTTGGGACAGGAGGCTCGGAGGGCAAGGGCTTGTTGCAGGGTAGAGTTGGACGGGTGGATGCCTGCTCGCCCCTTGCCTGGCTGTCATCGCTTTGAGCGGACGCAGCGCACATTCGACAGTCAAGGGGCAGTGTCGAGACGCACCCGTTTCCAGTCACGTTGACGCAATTCGAGCTTCATACGCTAGCCACGTACCGCCAAGAAGCGAGGTGCGTGTTTCCAGTAAGAAAACAGAGAGAATGGTTATACCGTTGTTACGAGTGCAATTGAGTGAACGAACTAGAATTGCACTATCGAAGCAAGAGTACAAATGAGCGAAGGCATGAGCGAAGAATATATAGCGAAACTACAGTGGTAACGGTAATGGTCGCGCGACGAGCCTGGGACTGAGGTTGGGAATGTGTCGAAGCGTAGGCCCGGAGCGCGGGTTACCAGCCGAGCCGTGAGGTCGGGATGCGATGTGCGAAAATGGCGGGATGATGAATGATGTGATGGTCGCGAGTGGCAACGGTGCTGACTGAGGTGCTACAGTGATGTACGCGTTGAGCAGAGATGCTAAGTAAGGAAAAGGGAATTTCCTTACACTACCCCCCCCTCCTAAAAGGTCCTCCTTACGAAAGCGCGTGGACGTCCTTGAAGTTTCGGCTGCGTAGATAGTCGGTGACGACAGGGTGGTTTTCAATTATGTCCAGGGGAACCCAGTTGTCCTCGGTGGGTGTACGATCTTTCCAGCGAATCAGAAACTCAACTTTTCGGGCCCCTCGAGGGTCGCGAACTCTGTGGCTCAAGATTTTGTCGGGGGTGATGATTGGTTCGGTTGGTGGTCGTGACATGCTGGATGGTCGATGTCGTGGGAGTTGGCTGGTGGATGGTTCGTAAGGGCGAAGCAGGCTGACGTGGAACGAGGGGCTGACGTACCAGTCAGCAGGAAGGAGGAGGTGCGCGGTGACAGGTGTGATCATGTGACTGATTCGAAATGGCCCACAGTATCGAGGGCGGAGTTTGGGAGTGATGGGCAGGCGGAGGTTCTGAGTGTCGAGTAAAACGAGGTCGTCGGGCTGATAAGTGACGGGTCTGCGGTGGTGATCGGCGTTGCGTTTAGCGATGATATTTGATTTTTTAATTGCTTCTGCTGCCCTGGTCCGTGCTGCTTGCAAAATCTCAGCGAACTGTTGTGCGCGTGGAACGGGATTGTCGGGGTTTGGTGTCATGGGTACTGTTGGGTTCTGTCCGTAATTCAAGTAGAATGGCGACTGTTGGGTCGTGGCAGATGGCGCGTTGTTGTATGCGAACTCGATGAGAGGCAGCTGCTGCTCCCACGTGTTTGGATCGTCACACGTGGCTCGAATCAGTTGCTCCATAGTCTGGTTTGTCCGTTCTGTCTGTCCGTCGGTTTCGGGGTGATACGATGAACTGAATTGAAGTCGCGTGCCGAACTGCTGCCACAGGTTCCGCCAGAAATTACTGGTAAACTTCGTGTCCCTGTCGCTGATGATCGACGCTGGTATCCCGTGCAGTCGAACGACGGTGGCGATGAAGAGTCGGGCTGTTTCCTGGGCTGTGATTGATTTCCTGCATGCTGCGAAATGTGCCATTTTCGTTAGTCGATCGACGACGACCAGGATCGCGTCATTCCCATTCGCCCCGGCCGGTAACCCCGTGACGAAGTCCATCGTCACCTGCTGCCAAGCACGCTCTGGAGGTGGGATTGGTTGTAATTGTCCTGCCGGCCGCTTCCTGGTTGACTTCATGAGTTGGCAAGTGGGACACGATGCCACGTGTCGTTGCACGTCGGTCAACATTTGCGGCCAGTAATAGTACCGCTGCAGCTGCTGCCGTGTTTTTTCTACTCCGAAATGTCCCGAGGTAACTCCGTCGTCTGCCTCCTGTAACAGTAGTTCCCGTAGTAGCGTGTACCCTGGTACACAGATGCGGTCGGATCCAGCTTTTACGTAATAGGCTCCCTTGGCTGCTGCGAATTGCTGTGAATTTCCTCCTGTGAAGAATGGGTCTGTTTGATATCCGTGGGTAAATAGTCCTGTCAGTAACGGGCTGTGTCAGAATATTATTCTTATGTTCTAGCCTGTAGTGGGGTGCTCTATAGCGAGTACAACCCTTCTAGGGTTTGCTATTTGTATCCCCATTTCTGCTAGTTCATTCCTCTTTCTTCTTCTAACTTTTGTCAGGCTGGTCTGGGCGAGTAGTATCGCATGTATTTGGGCAGTGGGGCGGGTCAGTGCGTCGGCGATATTCGAGGCTCCTTTTTTATATGTGACTGTATAGTGGAAATTCGATTCGAGGAAGTCGAGCCACCGAATCTGTCGTGGGTTGAGGTGGGGCTGTGCGCGAAGGTACTGTAGGGATCGATGGTCTGTCCGTACTGTCACGTCTGCGCCGGTCAAGTAGCAACGCCACACTTTGAATGCATGCACGATCGCGAGCATTTCGCGGTCGTGTATCGGGTAATTTCGCTCATGTGGATGTAGCTTGCGTGATTCGTAGGCGATGGGTTGGAGGCCGTTGCCGAAGTCCTGTAACAGTACGGCTCCGATGGCGATGTCACTCGCGTCTGTAACAACTTCGAAGGGGCGGTGTGGGTCAGCGATGCGTAGGACGGGTGGTGAACAGAGAACATTTTTCAGGGCAGAGAAGGCAGCATGCTCTTTCTCCCCCCACGTAAAATGGACCCCCTTACGCAGTAAATCAGTGAGCGGGGCTGTTAAGCGTGCCATGTCGGGGACGAACCGACGAACGTAATTAACAAACCCTAAAAAACTCTGTAGTTCCGTGATGTTCGTCGGGGGATGCCACGCTTTTACGGTATCCAGCTTCTTAGGGTCTATCTCAACCCCAGCCTCCGAAATGACGTGACCTAAAAACTCTAGCCTGTCCCGAAAAAACTCGCACTTGGAGCCCTTGGTGAGTAACCGATGTGCCTCTAAAATTTTAAAAACTGCTTCGAGATCTACTAAGTGCTGCTGCTGGTCCCGACTGTAAACGAGGATGTCGTCGAGGTAAACTATGACGCATTTATCTAAAAGTGGCCTAAACGCCTCGTTCATGGTCATCTGAAATGTTGCAGGCGCGTTGGTCAGCCCGAAAGGCATCACCGTGTACTCGAATGACCCGTACCTAGTCCTAAATGCTGTCTTGGCGCAGTCCGATGGTTCGACCCGAATTTGATGGTAACCTCCCCGTAAGTCTATTTTCGAAAATACTCGTGCGGTTCGCAGCTGGTCGATCAGTTCGTCGGCGCGGGGGATGGGGTATCGTGATTTTACTGTTACCCTGTTAAGCGCTCGGTAGTCGATGCACATGCGAAACCCCCCGTCTTTTTTCGGTGTGAACAGTATCGGTGCGGCGAACGGTGACGAGCTCGGTCGGATAAACTGCTTCTCTAACAGGTAATCTAACTGCTTCCTTAGCTCGTCGAGCTCGGGCTGTGTCAGTCGAAATTGGCGCTGTACAGTTGGCTGTGCCCCCGGTTCTAACTCGATCCTATGGTCATGCGCCCGCTGAGGTGGCAGCTCTTGCGGTAAGTCATCCGGAAAGATACCCGGGAACCGTTTCAGTAGTGCCTGTAGTTCGGGTGGTACGGCTGCCAACAGTTTCTGCAAATCACTCGGCCGGTCCTCTATTTCCACTAATGCGATATCCACTGCGTACACGTCAGCTCCAGCAGCGACAGCCCGTTTCATCGTGATGGCGTTGACCTGGACCGTCGAAGACTCGGGTGGCTGCCAGCGAGGTAGGACGACCCAGTTACCACTACTTCGCACTGTGCAGCTACCCGTCGTCCAGTCAATTCGTGGGTTATACCGTCGCAGCCAATCACGTCCCAATAAAATGTCGTGCCCATCCAGTGTCGTTGCGAGCATTTCCTGTGTAAACCCGAAGTTCCCTCCGCAGCGGACCTTTACTCTCTCCACCTTTTCCCGTATAGCCAGTGGCGTGCCGTCGACTAAGCGTGCATCGATCTCAGGTAAGCATCGGTTAAGTGTTAACTGTAATTTCCGTGCGGTTGCGGTATTAACTAAGCTGTGACTTGCTCCTCCGTCAATAAAAATCTTCACTGCTGCTCCCTATATTTTCCCGGAGATTAGTACCGGGCAATCCGTCGCTGTACCCTCCTTATTCATCCGAGCCCGATCGATGGCATGAATCGGTACTGTGACTCGGTGAGGGTCGGTGTGGTTGGGCGAGCAGGCAGTCTCGTAAGTAGTTGGCCCAACTTCTACTGACTGCTGGCGTTTCCCTGCCTCTGAGACTTCCTCCCCTGCTCTGCTCCTCGGCGCCTCAGCTTCTCTGGGCATTCGCTCTTGCGATGGCCCGTCCTGTTGCAAGCAAAGCAGCACCCCTTAAACGGTGCGGCAGCTGCATTCGTTGCGACGGCGTGTACAGTGGCGTGCTCGGTCGGTCCCCGAGGACGATGTCCGTAATAGGACCCCGGTCTCGGTCGGCGTAGAATGTCGATCTTCTCGGCGAGCGCGAGAATCTCGTTGAAGTTAGAGAGTCCGCGCAGCATTATCTCGTGCGAGATGTCCGGCTTCAGCCCTCCGACGTAACGGTCCACCCGCTCCGCTTCGTGCATGTAGCCGACCTGCTCGCAAAGTGCGAGAAAACCGCTGGTATAGTCTTGAACTGACCCGAGCTGGCGCCAAGTGCGCAGTTTCTGACGCGCCGAAATTGAAGCCGCGATCGGCTCAAAACGCGCCCGAAGTCCTGCGCACCACGCATCCCACGTGCTGTATTGGGCGGTCTCGCAGAACGAACTCCAGGTGACAGCTGGACCCGAGGGCCCTTCCTCGTGCAACGGTGGCTCGTAGGT